CTCTGGGCTGTGCTCCCTGGACTGTGCTCCCTGGGCTGTGCTCTCTGGGCTGTGCTCCCTGGGCTGTGCCCTCTGGGCTGTGCTCCCTGGGCTGTGCTCCCTGGGCTGTGCCCTCTGGGCTGTGCCCTCTGGGCAGGAGCATCCACATAGGACAGCCATTTTAGATGACCTGATGGAACAGGCCTGTCATCTGATTGGTTGGGAGGCTGAGGCAGGAGAATTGAAAGTCCGAGGCTTACCAAGGCTACAGCATGAGTTCAAGTCCAGTCTAGGCCGGTAGAGGTGCTGCTCATAAGTCGAGAACCTGAGTTTGCTCATGTGGGACGCACACGGTGGAGAGAGAGAAACGACTCCTAACACAAGCCCTGACCGTGTGCGCACACGCACAATATCAGTAATAAATGGTTAAAAACAAGGTTCTTCAATAAGTGGCTAAACAAGCCGGTACATGTAGCGTGCCACAGAGTAAAAGAAAAGGAACTTTACGCCCTAACAACTGGGATGAATCCCTAGGACATTACGTTGAGCAAAAACACCAATCCCCAAAGTTTGCGTATTACATTCTGGAGATGGCACGATTATGGGAATGGAAGACAGATTGGCAGTTGGCACAGCTGAACTGTGAGGGAGATTGGGGAGCTACGGAAGGACAGCAGGAAGGCTGCTCTGATGGACGGCAGGAAGGCTGCCCTGATGGACGGCAGGAAGGCTACTCTGATGGACGGCAGGAAGGCTACTCTGATGGACGGCGGGAAGGCTGCCCTGATGGACGGCGGGAAGGCTGCTCTGGTGGACGGCGGGAAGGCTGCCCTGATGGACGGCAGGAAGGCTGCCCTGGTGGACGGCAGGAAGGCTGCTCTGATGGACGGCCTCTGCCTCCACTGTGTTGGCAGAGCCACAAACATACACTAGATTTTGCACAGCACTAAACAGGCACATAGGCACACAGGCGGACAAGTCCGCAGAGAAAAGCTGGGAAATTAGAGCATATATACCACCCACTGTCGATACTTTGGCTGTATAGTGTTGTACTGTAAATTTAAATGTTACTTCAGGAGAAGCAGAGCTAAGCCAAAGGTCCACAGAATCTGTCTATAGAACATTGTTATCACTGCTTGGATGGATTTGTGATGACCACAACAAAATATTCAGTTGAAAAAATAAATAATAAGGAACTAGAGAGATGGCTCTGTGGTTAAGAGCAGTGGCTGCCCTTCCAGGGTTCAGTTCCCAGCATCCACACGGCAGCTGGCAACCTTCTATTACTCCAGTCTCAGGGATCTGATGCCCTCTTCTGGCCTCCATGGGCACTGCACACACTCAGTGCACAGATATACATTCAGGCAAAGACACATACACAAAGTAAAAATAAGATCTCAAAAAAAATTTAGAAAGAAAAATAACAAAATGTCTGGGGAATTTTGATGAGGGGGCCAAAGTTATAAATAATATTTTATCCAAATAGGAAAAAAAATCACAAACATTCAAATATTTAGAAAACTTCAAATATCCACTCTAATAGTTGTTTATAAGTAATAGTATATTGTATTTTATTACAAAATCTCCTCCTGATAGAGAACACCTGTCAGCAGCAGTCTTTGCCCTAGAGGAGTTTCTATTAGGTGTCTATTTTTAATTAATTAGCTGATTAATTACTTTAATTACTTTGAGGCAGTGTCTCACTGCGTAGCCTAGTTCTGGAACTTACTATGTAGCCCAAGCTGGTCTTGGGATTGTGGTCTGCCTCCCTCTGGAAGATCTGGGATGCCAGGTGTGTGCCATTGCACCTGGCTTGGGTCTCTGTCAACGCAGAGACTGTAATTATTCCCCGGGTGTCACTGTGCAGTTCAGTCTGTCGGCAGGTGTCTCATCGCCCTCTGCGTGGACTCCGCAGTTTCTAGTGAGGCTTCTCCTGACGTCAGATCAGAATGCAGAGCTCTGTGATCATTTCACTGCAGACACAAGCACGAGGACAGCATCTGTGTGCCGCCAGAGCACCGCCCCTCGGTGAACCTTGTGGGATACAGATGCTGATGTCACAGAAGTGGAGTCACAGAGTTGCATTCTCCAAATCGGCTGAAGGTCTTCCCGTACTGGTTATCTAGTCTTCAAAGATTTAAAGGTGCGAATAGCCCTGTTCTCCGTGGTAAGGAAGACAGTGCCAGGGCTCTGGGTGTAGCTTGCTTGCTCAGCAGGAGAACATTTGCCTAGCACACAAAAGGCCCTGGGTTCGAGCCCCAGCATTGCAAACGACAATGAAACAAATAGCTGGTCTGAGTCAAGATGTGGTAAAATACTGAGATTATTCCTGTCGGACATTAATAACCAGAGAGTGTCTGTGTAGCCAAATATTTGCTACATTAGAACATTTGAGTTAAAATAAGAAGGAGGATGGTACTGAGTGGTTTTTTCCTAACTGAAGGGGACTGGAAGAAAACAGGAACTCAGGCTGGAGTTCTTACTCAAGTTCTACATTAACGACACAAGAGTCTCTGCCTGCCCTGATACCCTTGTCCCCGACAGCCACGGAACTGAGATTTCTGCAAAGCGAGCTCAGAAGCTCATTCTGTGTATGGCTGTATCACACCGCTCACGGTGGTCAGCTCTGTGAGGAGGTTCTATTCCCACCCTCACATTGCCCTCGCACTAAAGTAAAAGCGTCACGTGAGAAGGAATGGGAGTCTTCCAGTGGCAGTCATGGGGGTCACAGGGAGTAAAGCCGAGTAAACCAGGGACACCAGACTTTGAAATCCCATTGCATTCTCTCTGCTGATGGAAGCAGTCTTTCTCACCTGCCTGGGGAGGTAGACCTCTGCCTGCCACATCTGAAGGGTCCTCATTTTTCTCCCCTGCCTGGGAAGGAACAGCTGCAGAGTCTGCAGGACCTTCCCCATCCCAGACAGCTATTTCCCAGGGCACCGCCTGCTTTCCACAGCACTCACCTCCATCATGTATTTTTGGTTTGAGGTTTGGAACTGGCCTTGGGGCTGGGGCTGTAGCTCAGTGGCAAAGCACTTGCCTAACATGTGTGACGCCCTGGGTGTGATCTCTGGTGCCGGGAAAGGAGGAGAAAAGAAAAAAGCTAGCCATTGACTTAAAACTAGATGTAAAGCCCAGCAGCGCTCAAGGCAAGGCAAGAGGTATTCATGATCCACGAGGAAATTTGATTGACTCCAAAACCACCCATTTCCTGGGCCCCAATTCAGACAGAAATGTGGGGGAATACACATGAGAATGAACAGATGCCAAGGACATACAACAAGGGTGGAGGGGTACAATGTGGGGCAGGAGGAGCATGTTGGTCTGTGCCTCCTAGGTGGGTGGGCATTTGGGCTTGCTGTTATAGGAGTGATGCTGATGTGCTAGTTGGCTGACTGACATATGAAACAAAGAATCCATCATAAATCATACAAGAGTATGAGCATCTCATGGTATTCAGTCTATGAATGGTCTGGGGTCCTTAAGAACCTGGGCTTGGTAGAATCCCACATTTGTTTTCCATGATGATGGGAAGGGCCAAGTAGGAACTGTTAGAATCCTCTCCACCTCTAATACAGTCAACTGAGTATAATTCTTTGGGAAACCAGAGGTATAAGTGCCCGGGGTGGTGGCTCTGCCCCCTGCCATTCAAATCTCCTATTTCCATTCAAGAAGAGAGACATTCAGGAGCAGGATGTAGACTGCCCTAAACTCAGCCAAGTGGGGACTCCCCTTGCAGGGGCCATGCCAGATGTGGTTTTATTATTTGGATACATGAACTCATGCTCTGGGACCCGATGTGTAGCATCAGATGCAACAGATACTTCTCCAACTTCCCTGTCCACAGACACCACCAGAAGTAGTTTGCTGTTAGCCAACAAGGCCAGCAGTATACCTTCACCCATCATCCTTGCTCAGAGGCACGGCAAGTCTCTAACTCTGCTAGAATTTGTTCTCAGGAATCCTTCTCACCTTTCCCTGACAGGACGTTGTACTGGTCTCCTGAATTGATAGTACTGTGGTGATTGTACTTGAGGAAATGGTAACAAATCTAGACTGATAGGTAAGACATTGACACACCACAGAGTAGACAATGTGGTATGTGTGACATGTCCAGGGACTTCCACTTCGGCAAAGTTTCTCCAGGCCTGGTGTATGGGACATGTTGTTGCTGTAACAAAATGCCTGACAAGGCAACTTAAGGAAGAGAGTTTATTCTGGCTCACACACTAAAGGCACACAGTCCATCGTTCAATGTGGGGAAGGCATGGTGATAGGCACACGAGGCTTCGCTACCTACATTTAGGGTGGGTCTTTTTACCTCACTTATTACCTCAAAATCCCCTCACAGATGTGACATGCCCAGAGGTTTGTCTTCAGGTGATTCTAGACCCTGTCATGTTGGTGATCAGTATCAACCATTATACAAGGTGAAGGATAAACTTGCATCTGGCCCCTCACTCAGTCAAGAAGAAGGCCTGAGGCCTTGTGGGTTTCTTTACACCGAGGAGATGTAACTCTGACCTATTTACTGAGTGACCCAAAAGCGGCAGGCCTTCAGTGTGGTCTGGAATTGGACTCCATTGCAATAGGTCCAGGCTGTTGTACAGGTGATTTGGAGACTTGGGCCACAGCTCCAGCAGATCCAATGGTGTGTCATTGACAAATATAGATGGTGTTTGGATCTTTTGTCAGGTGAATTTCTGGTTGCTGGGATTTGGGAGCAAGGCCCTGACAGCAATAGATGGCAGCTCTCTGAGTCCATGCTTGCTCTGCTGCTGGGTCTCAGTAAAAATGGGAGGACGGGCTGCAGGATCAGCTACCAAGTTACCACATGTGGTGGTTTGAAATAAAATGGCCCACAAAGGGAGTGGCACTATTAGAAGGTGTGGTGGTGTTGTGTTCCCCAAAATATTGTGCACCCTAATAAACTTATCTGGGGTCAGAGACAGAACAGCTACTAGATACAAAGGCTAGAAAATGGTGGCACTCACACCTTTAATCCTAGCATTCCAGAGGTAGAAATCCCTCTGGATCTCTGAGTTCAAGGCCACGTTGGAAACAGCCAGGCATCGTGAAACACGCCTTTAATCCCAAGAAGTGAGCCTTTAATCCCAGGAAGTGATGGCAAAAGCAGAAAGATATATAAGGCATGAAGACCAGAAACTAGCAGCATTTGGCTGGTTAAGCATTTGGCTGGTTAAGCTTCCAGGCTTTCGAGCAGCACAGTTCAGCTGAGATTCATTCTAGATGAGGACTCAGAGGCATCCAGTCTGAGGAAACAAGACCAGTGGAGGATCCGGTGAGGTAAGGTAGCTGTGGCTTGTTCTGCTTCTCTGATCTTCCAGCTTCACCCTAATACCTGGCTCCAGGTTTGATTTTATTAATAAGACTCTCTAAGAATCCTACTACAAGAAGGTGTAGCTTTGTTGGAGGAAGTGTGTCACTGTGGGGGTGGGCTTTGAGGTCTCCTATGCTCAAGCTACTCCCAGTGTCACAGACCACTTTCTGTTGACTGAAAGATGTAGGACTTTCAGCTCCTTCTCCAGCACCATGTCTGCCTTGCACACTGCCATGCTCCCCACCATGATGGTAATGGACTGAAACTCAACTATAAGCAAGTCACCCCAATTAAATGTTTTCCTTATAAGAGTTGCCATAGTCATGGTGTCTCTTCACAGCAATAGAAACCCTAACTAAGACACAAGTTGGAACCAGGGACTGGGGTATTGCTGTGATAGACCTGATCATATTTTTATTTGGAGGAATTTGGACTTTGGTACTTTGGGTTAGGAAAGCAGTGGAATGCTTTAAGCATATAAGTAGGAGCTGGGCGGTGGTGGCGCATGCCTTTAATTCCAACACTTGGGAGGCAGAGGCAGAGGCAGGCGGATCTCTGTGAGTTCAAGGCCAGCCTGGTCTACAGAGCGAGATCCAGGAAAGGCGCAATGCTACACAGAGAGATCCTGTCTCGAAAAAAAAAAACAAAACCAAAAAACAAAAACAAGTAGAAGCATGGAAGACCGTGGTGCTGAGGGGGCTTTAAACTGAGGAGCTAGCTCAAGAGGTTTCAGTGGAGAAGAATATTAATATGTGGCCTAAAGATGGTTCTTGTGATATTTTGGTGAAGAAAGTGGCTGCTTTTTGCTCTTGTCTGCAAAGTTTGCCTGCGGCTAAAGTGAAGGATTAATTCCATTGGCAGAGGAAATCTCAAAACAGCCTAGTTTTGACTCTGTTGTGTGGTTATTGGTGTTAACTCTGATAAAGATTTATAACGAAAAGGAGCGGTGAGCTGAGCAAATAAAAATAGAAAATGAACAGATTGAGAAAAGGGGCACCAGGAAGTGGGATAGAGCTAAATCCTGTGTTCAGGGAGATAAACGAATTAAGAAATGGAATAAAGGGAGTGGTGACCTCAGGGCAAGATCCCACCCAGTTAACTTTCCAACTTGTGAAAATTAATTAAAGAAAAGCTTAGAGCCAGGTGTGGTGGCACATGCCTTTAATCCCAGCACTGGGAAGGCAGAGGCAGGTGGATTTCTGAGACTGAGGCCAGCCTGGTCTACAGCCCCTTTCTTCTGTCGTTAACGCTAAAGCCAGAACCACGTGGCCAAAACTGCCAAGTTCTGCTGCTTGCGAGGGCTGGAACATGGCCTCCTTGTTCAATTACATCTTCACCAGCTTTCTGTTTTTGATGATTACCTTCATTGCCTAAGCTTAGCTGTCCTGGAACTCGCTCTGTCATATCTGCGGGATCCTATCTCCCAACCAGTCCACATTCCAAGGTTCTGGGTATACCTGGGTCTTGAGGGAAATTGTTCAACCCAATATTTGACATAAAATATTTCTGCATACTTTTTTCTGTCTCTTTCTCTCCGTTCTGTCCCTATTCTTATTTTCTCGGATCACACTTTAGGGTAGGTCAGTTGCCATGTTGGAGTTCCCTCAGACAGCCGTGGGATAGACCCCTGTGGTGGGAAGCTGAGGCTTCTAGGCAACAGCCATAGGGTGAGTTCAGAGGCAGGTCCACTGACCCCTGTAAATCACATGACATTGTGTCTGCAGCCTCAGGGCAGACCTAGACCCAGAGCCATATGGCCAAGCTGTCCCTGCCTTCCAGATTCACAAAAGCCACATGTTAATAAGGGTTCACAGTTCTCAGTTATTAAGTTGGGGGGTCATCATGTGAGCTAGCACAGACAAGAAGACAGGTCGGGTGTCCTCCAGTAAAGAACATGCAAAAATCCTCAAATGGGGTGGAGTCTGAGAGAAGCTGGTGGAATGTTCTAGAGGTGAGGGCTGTTTCTGGCCCTGAGGGTCTGGCACCCATAGAGAACTCCCTGATCAAGGCTAATGGCACAATGTTTCTAGAATGAACTAAAGATGGTCCTTCTCTTTTGACCTCCTGAATAATACAGGGGAGATGTCTGCCAGTGTGTATGTGTATGTGTGGGGGGGCATGGGTCCCCTCCTTTCATGGCCCTCTGTCTCCTCCTGTTTTCATTTTCCTGGGTTCCTCAATCACCCCCAACAGCTGTGAGCCTCTTTCCACCATGCTGGCAGGCCTTCTTGAAGCTTTGGAGGAAAAGCGCAACCCGGTCTTGTGAGTTATAAATGAGTCCATTAAGGGAGGCGGATTCACTAAAAGGCTGCCTTTGCTCCACCTGGTCCAAAGCCTCCCTTGCATGATCGATGACTCCATAGCCTGCAGACGGTCCTGAACCTCGGTGCATTCTTAATGCCTCAAAAGTTTCCAATTAAAGGCAAATGGCTCTTGGCAAAGTGCAAAGCATTTTTACTAACTAAAATAAATACCTGGGCAGGCTCCATGGTTTATGACTTCTCCACATAGCTGAGAATAAGCAGCTAAGGAGTCAGGGGGTGAGGGATGGTAGGAATGAGAGACCCGTCAAGCCTGTGAAAGGCACCCCAGATAACAGTGCTGGGGTGGTGCTCCTGGGCTCCTGGGTTGGGAAGTCCTACACACGTGGACTTTGGTTGTTGCTGCTGTTGTTTGAGACAGGGTCTCATGAAGCCCAGGCTGACCTCAGACTCTCTATGTAGCTGAGGCTAACTCCTGCCTCCTCCCAAGCGTTGGGATTACAGGTGAGTGCCAACACCACAGTTCTGTGAGTTGTTGGGACTCGAACCCAAGGCTTTGTGCATGCTAGGCAAGCTCTCCACAACTGAGCAGGGGCCCCAGCTTTTCAATCTTCCTGGGCATGGGTGAAGTAGGGTGACTTGTAGAGGTCGCATGGAGACTACCTGCAGCTCCTTGGCCTTCACTGTGTCCCCTCATAGCCCGCCTCTGAGGCTCTTTCTGCACCTGCCTCACAGCTCTGTGATAGAGGGCAGTGAATGGGGCTTAGAGTTCTGGGAGATTGGGGGTCAGGCGTCGTCGCCATGGCTACCATTCCCTCTGTAGGTAATCTTTGCCTGTGATGGCTCCCTGCCCTCAGCAGATGCTGAGCGGGTGTTTTCTCTCCTTTTTCCATCCACTCTTTGAATTCAGGACTTCCTGAACATGCTGGTGGATTGGTGTCTGCAGCAAGCTGGACAGAGAACACTTCCTGAAGGCACCATCCCATTCAGGGAGTAAGAGTGATACTGACCTTGAAGCTTTTAGACCCCTAGAAATTTCACCTGAACTGCTGGACCTTTCGTCTCCCAGCCCAAGGAGTTGGGACCTTTGCCTCCCTCTCCCTTCCTCCCCATTCTCTATGCTCATGGTACCTGTGGCCACTACATGGCCCCTTCCAAAGGGACCCTGGACCTTACCCAGGACCACGGATTAACCAGGGCCTCGCCATGGACAGAAGGGAAGCTGTCCTGGGTAAGGGTCTGACCTATCAGTTGGGAAGGGACCTTTCCAGTGTTGGTGGTCCAAAGCCATTGTACATGGCTTGAGTGGAGGATGGGAATTGTTCCCTACCTGCCAGGCTACCTCCCTGTGCTGTACTTAGCCAGGCAGCCACGAGTCAAGACCCCACACATCTGAATTGTAGAGAGGACCTAGTTTCAAACTGGGACTTCAGGGCGACACAGGACTACCACAGCTCAGAGTCCTTGACAACACTAGGAAGGTGATAATGGACTAGGAAGAAAGAGCTGGAGGAGCCTGGGCACTGGGTCACCAGGACTCCCATTCCCAGCATCCCACTGCCTCACACGGGGTCCCAAATATAGCCGGCTGAGGCATGGCCACCTCCTGCTGTCTGTGAACCATGTACGTGCTCAAGGTTCGGCTTTCAGACATGCGTGACCTGTCACCAAAGAAGCCAAGGGGCCTTTATGACAGTCCAGCGGTCCATAGTCCTATTTGCATGCCTAACAGTCCCAGGAGGGAGGCAGTGTGACCCACTCTGCAGATGGCAGCTCAGTGTAGCGCTTTCAGGTCCCTGGCCTAGGGAGGAGCCATGCTGGAGAGAAGGTCAGCTCAGCCTGTGCTGGGGCAGCTGCTGGGACCTCCTCTGTAGTGGACTACATCATGACAGCCAGGCTTGGGGAACTCCTGTGGATGGGTAGAGGTGGTCCATGGGTTCTCCAGGTGGGGGACGTCTTAGCCCTGTGTGAGAACCCAGAGGCTGATGTTACCTCCCCCGGGAGGGGGGCATGGAAAGGAGGTCAGCTTCTGGTCCTCTTCCATGGGGGCCCCAGGCACTCACAGCAGTAGGCTGAGCATCATCCTTCCTTCCCGGTTGGGTCCCACTGTCTAGGTTGGGCCAGCCTTCCTGCCTCAATGGGTCCTATTTGTCCCACATGCGTGTGGTTTGGTTGGTATTTGCCAGTCACAACTCCCGATTCTACCTTCTCTCACAGACTGGGTATGAAGGTGTCTTCTGATAGCTGGAGGCTCAATTTCCTGGTAGCCCGTGACCTCCCTTCAAGGTCACCATGTCCCTTAGAACCCCACCCTATCTGCTGATGGGTATTTTAGGACATATGGCCATAACTGGCACACATTCATAAAAAATAAGAAAATAAAGCCTGGAATAGTAAAAGGACACCTTACATCACACAAGGGGAGGAGGCACACGGGATATGGGGTCTAAACAAATGGAACCTGGAACTTGGAACATGGGTGTGGTTGCCTTAGGCTCGTGGTGGCTCTGGTGCATATTTCTTTGTATGTTTCATACAACACACGGGTTATGGAAAATCACTCATATGAGCCTTTATTAAGGAGTCCATGATTTTACATCCTTCTCTTCTGAGTCATGCTCAGATCACTCTGACCCTGCCTTCCTCCCAGGCTCTCCTTCCCATGGCAATCCTTGGACAGAGAGGATGACATTGCTCATTGCTGGAGTCCTGTCAATCCTGGCTCTGTGAAAGGCCCAGTGTCCCAGATCAGCCCTCAGAAAGGACAGTGTTGGTAAGATAGTCTGATATGATATCCCCAATGTGTCTCTATTCCAACAGCTCATCCTGAGAGGTCCCACTCTCTCTCTCATTCCTAATAACCCAGGAAACCATCCCCCAACACTCCTGGGCAATAGTGAGGACAGCTGACTCTGACCTCAGACCTTGTCCTGGAGTTCTCCAGCCTAGGCTTCCTGGGAACCCATCCTCTTTGAGGAGGATATGGCTGCCTCCCTAGAGATGGAATCTCAAGTGAGAACACACTGTCCACTGGGACGCCAGCCAGGGCTGAGAGGACCCTGTGTCTGGCCAGGAATACAGAGTTTTCTAGCAATGGGCACCTTCATGGCCACCCTCCACCTGCCAAGGGCTATTTTCTTGTCTTGGAGTGTTACAAGCTGTACTGAGTTCCCGAGAGAAGTCATGCTGAAGTCCGGATGCCTAGGACCTTGTGATGCTCCTCGTTTGGAAACAGAACCACCACGTACGTGACAGGTTACAGTGAGGTCATACTGCATCAGCCTCCCCATCCAACATGTGGGACATCATTATAAGGACACAGGCACAGGAGACCATGGCTGCGTGGCCTCAGAGGCAGGGACTGAAGTGTTACAACCACAAGCCAAGGAGAAGCAAAGCTTGGCAGAAGCCACAGAAGCCAGCCGAAGCAGGGAGGATTCCCAGCACTTCCAGAAAGTTCACATTCCAATCAGCACCTGACCTCAGCCTTTCAGACTCCATGTCTGTGGGAATATTTTCAAACCACTAAGGTTCGGGTCCTTTGGGGAGTCCCAGAAAATGCATATGTCATTATCTCATCATGGAATAAGGTTAAAATCCCCCTGCCTCAAACGTACCTCTCACCTAGAGGAACTTCAATGGCTGTTCCCAGGAACAGCCTTAGCCCTGCTGGTACCAAGGCAGAACTTCTGGGGTTGTACTAAAATATCCCCAGTCACTTACACTGGGTCCCTAGGCTGACTTTACATAGATGAGCAGTATTCCCATAGACACAGAAAACACTTTCACAAGACTGCCCTTGGTGGACACTGAGCCTCTCCCCCTTCCCCCCCCCCCCCCCCCCCCCCCCCCTCCCCACCCTCATCCCTTGCTCTCAAATCTCCCTCTTTAAAGCAATGAGAAAACACAGACCTTTCTGATTGCAAATGTTTTTAAATGCCTGCGTATTAATGACTGGTTGAGTATGCACGCTGGCGAGTGGAGGGCTATCCTTCTTGTCTTAAATGAGAAAAAGTCATAGGAAAAATGGGCTTTGTGTTGTCAAACATTACTCTGAGCAGACGCCCTCTGAGCGCCCGGCTCTGGGGGCTTCCTGAAGCCAATTGCATTTTTCCTGGAGTGTGTTTAACGTCAGCACCCTGAGGAGCTTGGCTGAGAAGAGCCCCGAAGGCCAAATATTTACACAGCCAACCCTGAGCCCCATGGAAATGACCTCAGGAACATTGTTTTTAATTCATGAGATGTGGAGAGGAATGGGAGGCACGGCCTTTTCAACACTTGTTTCTGGACCATGGAAGCTCAGGGATAGGGTTCCTGGGTAGGGACACTATGGGTCTTTTCTGGATCCGACTTCCTTCCTCTGTCCTTACATAAGTCACAGAGCTCGAGCACATTTCTCCTGTAAAACACAGGTAGAAACAACACAGGTTCCCT